CCTACCCTGCTTCGAGCCACGGTGATCCCTCACCTGATTACTGCAGGAGCCTCCTACCTGCCCTTGTTCCCCTACAGACTATTCTCAAAACTGGACCAGAGCACTCCTTTGAGAATCATTGGAAAAGTAATTGAAAAAATATCCATAGAGAAGACCTAAAAGACAGAGATGGAAAACAGGAGAGAAAAGACAAGAAAATTAGGGCAACTGTCCAAGACTCAAACATTTAACTAACAAACAAGAGTTTCCAAAAAGAGAAAACAGAAAATGGCAGGAGATTACAAAAGAAATAATGTAAGAAAATGCCCAGAATAGAAGGACATGAGTCTTCAGATTAGAAGAGCCCCATGGAGGGCCCAGGGCAAGGCCGTCATCATGAAAATGGGCCACAAGCAGGGGTCAGCAGGTAGCATGGCACTGGCACTCGATGGCAACACAGTTAAGCTGGAAGAAAATAAGACATCCTCTCTGACACAGGAAAGGTATTTTCCAGCCAGGATTCACTACTCAGATTATCAATCAAGTATAGGAGCGATTAAGGAAATTTTTTTTTTTTTTCAGACGTGCAAAGTTTCCAAAACCAAGAAGGTGCTATAGGATGTGCTCCATTCGATTAAGGGAGTAAACAAGAATGGGGACTAGTGGGATACAGGCAGAAGGGAACGCAGCACAGGACGGAGACCAAGAGAAGTCACAGAATGAGGACACACTAGGGGGGCTGGCCGGCTAGTTCAGTTGGTTAAAATGGGGAAGAAAAACAAACAAAAAACGACGTTTCAGTTGGATAGTTGGATAGAGTGATAACACCAAGGCCCTGGGTTTGATTCCAGTACTGGCCAACTGCCCAAAAAAAAAAAAAAACCAAAAAGAGTGAGGACAAAATGAAGTCCCAGGATGACAGTTCCACAGCAAGCCCATATAGCAATTTATGCTATATGTATTACTGATTTTTTTGAGGTTTACGAACATGTACAGAAAGCCTTCACACTATGTTTTGACATAAAGATTATAATTACTAGTCCTTACCTTTGTATATTTCTTGCAAGTTTACAGAGAATCAGTGTAGGACAATGGAAAAATAAATAGGACTGTTGCAAAGACACATGTAAAATCCATAGCATTGTAGTAGCTACATAGAGTTTTTTCAAGCATCTTGTTTTTATCTTACAGCAACCTGTGAGGTGTGCAGGTTATTAGTATTATCCTCATTTTACACATAAGAAAGCTGAGGCTCGCAGTAGCTGTGTGACTTGCCCAAGTTCACACAGCCACTAAATGGCAGAACCAAGATTCAAATAGAAATGGATCTTCTGCTTTCAAAGCTAGGATCTCAAATTTTCCATGAATACAATGGAAGAAATAATTAAACTAGTTGTTAACAGGATCACAGTCAAATGACATAAATAGCTGTAAAACAGATATAGTAAAAACTGATATAGAGGCAAATACAATACTAATGTTTAGACTGTTACCTGTTGAAACACTGACAAGCATCCCCACGAATAATGTTCCCAAAGTTCCAAGAGTGCTGAAGTACAGATATGATAAGGAATACCAGTTATCCATCAGTGGAGTCCTAAGAGAGGGCAAAAGCATAACTGTGAGATTTCACGTAATGCCACCAGCAACCACAAGTATGGGTCAGTGATCCTCATGGCAAAGTGAAAATACAATATCAAATAATGTTTTTCATGTCATGATCTGTGTCCCGATTTGGATCAGGAATTAAAAGTATGACTTAACATTGACTATATACTAAAATACTTGTGGCATTCAACCCTGCATTATGTCCCAGGCAACCGTAGACAAGGTATCTGATCATATAAAGGTTACATCTAATGGGAAAAGAAATACAATAACAAGTAAACACGCTAAAAAAATAATTTCCACTGGTGGAAAGTGCCATAAGGAAAATAACCAAGATGACATGACAGTAACAGAGTGAAGGAGAGACTACACTACAATGAATGGTCAGAGTGAGCCTTTGGGAAGAAATGACATTTGAACTGAGATCTGAAAACCAAAAGTTCTTGAAGAAAGCATCCCGGAGAGAGGTAAACACCAGCTAGCGGAAGCACAGTGACAAGACACATGTGGTACAAGATGACAGGTGGGCAGGGGACTTCTTGTGGGATTTGGTATGAGTTGCAGCATTTTAAGCGAAGGAGTGACATGATCATTTGTACAATGATCGCTCTAGGATTCCACTTTCAGCTTTGATAGAGTAGCTTGAATTAGACCAGCCACCCTGCCAAGAATAATATATAAAAATTGGGGGATGGGAGGGAGGCAGGTTTTTGAACACATCAGAGAGATCATGGCAATGAGAACTCGCAGGGCCAAGAGCCCAGAAAGAAAAGAAATATGTTGAGGTGAGCTAATGAAATTGAGACAGTGTGGTATTGGGCCAAAGACAGACAAAATAGAACAGAATAGAGAATCAAGAAACTGACCCACAGCAAAATAGTCATTTGGTTTGCATCAGTTTAGTTAGGGCAAAAGAAGAGTATTTTCAATAAATGGTGCTTGGTTAATTGAATATCCATATGGGGAAAAAATTAACCTAGATCGCACAACCCATGGAAATCAATTCCAAAGCGGATTACATTTCCTAAATGGAAATGGTTAACAATAAAGCTTTTCAAAGAAAAATTAGAGAAATACTTTTAAGACCTCAGCATAGGCAAAGATTTCTTAAGCAAGACATATAAAGGACTAATCATTTAGGAAAAGAATGATAAATTGAACTTAATTAAAATTCTGACTACAAAGTAGTATCATTCAGCGAATAAAAAGGCAGCCCACAGAGTGAGAGAAAAATATTTTCAAAACATATCTTGTATCTAGAATATATCAAGAACTCTTACATAAATAAGAAAAGGAGAGTTCATTTAAAAATGGACCAAAGACTTCGACAGACAAGTCACAAAAGCAGATGGCCACTAAACATATAAAAAGGCGTTCAACTTCATTAATCATAACAGAAATGCAAATTAAAACCACAATGAGCTACCAATACATACCCATCAAATGCTGGGGACCTTTAGAAATAAGAACTGAATCTGGGCAATTGAAACCAGCATCCAGGCAACCAAAAGGTATCTCACTCAGTATTAAACTGTGTCGCTCACAGCCCTTGTACTCTAGCCATACGGAACTAGATGTGATTTCCTGAGATGGGTGCTCCTTCAGGCCTTCCTGCCTTTGCGCATGTTTCTTCATTCTGCAACACTTGCTCCTTCTTTCCTTTGTCCTCTGTGCCCAGTCCTGCCCACCTGGTCAACTCCAGCTCATGTAATACTCTTCTGGGAAGGTTTCCTTGACTCCACGCAGGCAGAGTTAGATTCTTCCTCCCCCTCGATCCCTATCCTATGAATATCACTTATCAAAATATATTGTTTAATTGTTTATTTGCTTGTCCAATTTTCCTTCTGATCATTTTCTGTGACAAGAATGACTTTCCAGACCTTCTCCCTCATCTGTCCAACCCTCTGTATTCTTCAAGCAGTGGCACATCTCTGAAGTCTTCATCCTAATCTACACTCTGTTTTTAGTCATTTGTGTGTGTGTGTGTGTGTGTGTGTGTGACCGGTAAGGGGATTGTAACCCTTGGCTTGGTGTCACCCGCACCGCGCTCAGCCAGTGAGCACACCGGCCATCCCTATATAGGATCTGAACCCGCAGCCTCGGCGCTCTCAGCGCCGCTGCGCTCCCAGCGCCACACTCTCCCGAGTGAGCCAGGGGGTCGGCCCTTATAGTCATTTTTTAAACAAATATTTAGCTAACAAATATATTATTAGCTATTAACCATGTGCTAGTTATGATACTTATTGTGCTTATTGAGTTTATTGTTTGGTGTATATTAGCATATTCTCTCAAGTTAGATTATAATTTCTCGGAATGCAGAGGTGACAGTGGATGGGAAGGGAAGACTTTCTTCGGTGGATATTAAATAAATGGCCAGCACAACGCTGGGTACATAGTTCATGCTCAAAAATTCTTGCTTATTAGCTGAACTATATTATAAATAAGCTAACAGATTAAAAGTGATTATTATGGTCCCAGGCACATAGTAAACCTCGGATTATATTTTGGTTTCAGGAATCCAAATTGCTGTAGACTCTTAAATTAAGGGAGATATTTACATAACCCGGACACATTCTAAGGAAATTCTGCAACAAGAAGTACATTCTGAATGTCCTCCCACTTAAACTTCAATTAGCCTCTTCTCCCTTTGACTCTCTCTAGTGGTTTTCCCAACCCCCTCCCATAGTGCTTTCACACTTGTCCACACCACCCCCCACATTTCCTTGGCCCTCTCTCCACAGCACCTCATGTAGACAAACTTCCCCCAAATCAGCCTCAGGCTCTGGATCTACCCTTTCACTGTACCATGTAGAGCTCTCTTGTCTTGAACTCCCCTGGAAGACCCACTGGCAAGCATTCTCATAGCTGAATTCCCACTGGGACATGAATTACTAATAATGCCTGTTCGTATGGTCATGTTCCTTCTCCCAGGACTATGTCCATTTAAAAGAGACACCAGGTCTTGATCCAAAAGGGATGATTCTCTAATAGTGTCATTCTAGGCAAACTGGCACTGGGGCAATATTCTGGGGTCATAGCTTTATCTTTGCATTCCTCAAACATATCCATGGGGTTTGTGCTTTAAGGCTGGACATTTATACATCCACTAAGAAAAGTCTTGCCCTCACACCCACTAGACATCAAAACACTCCTCTGCCAACAAGTCTACATCATTTCATTAAATCAGACAGAGGGCTCAAAAGTGTACTACGTAATTGAAAANAATGCAAATTAAAACCACAATGAGCTACCAATACATACCCATCAAATGCTGGGGACCTTTAAAAATAAGAACTGAATCTGGGCAATTGAAACCAGCATCCAGGCAACCAAAAGGTATCTTACTCAGTATTAAACTGTGTCGCTCACAGCCCTTGTACTCTAGCCATACGGAACTAGATGTGATTTCCTGAGATGGGTGCTTCTTCAGGCCTTCCTGCCTTTGCGCATGTTTCTTCATTCTGCAACACTTGCTCCTTCTTTCCTTTGTCCTCTGTGCCCAGTCCTGTCCACCTGGTCAACTCCAGCTCATGTAATACTCTTCTGGGAAGGTTTCCTTGACTCCACGCAGGCAGAGTTAGATTCTTCCTCCCCCTCGATCCCTATCCTATGAATATCACTTATCAAAATATATTGTTTAATTGTTTATTTGCTTGTCCAATTTTCCTTCTGATCATTTTCTGTGACAAGAATGACTTTCCAGACCTTCTCCCTCATGAAATAAGAACTGAATCTGGGCAATTGAAACCAGCATCCAGGCAACCAAAAGGTATCTCACTCAGTATTAAACTGTGTCGCTCACAGCCCTTGTACTCTAGCCATACGGAACTAGATGTGATTTCCTGAGATGGGTGCTCCTTCAGGCCTTCCTGCCTTTGCGCATGTTTCTTCATTCTGCAACACTTGCTCCTTCTTTCCTTTGTCCTCTGTGCCCAGTCCTGCCCACCTGGTCAACTCCAGCTCATGTAATACTCTTCTGGGAAGGTTTCCTTGACTCCACGCAGGCAGAGTTAGATTCTTCCTCCCCCTCGATCCCTATCCTATGAATATCACTTATCAAAATATATTGTTTAATTGTTTATTTGCTTGTCCAATTTTCCTTCTGATCATTTTCTGTGACAAGAATGACTTTCCAGACCTTCTCCCTCATCTGGCCAACCCTCTGTATTCTTCAAGCAGTGGCACATCTCTGAAGTCTTCATCCTAATCTACACTCTGTTTTTAGTCATTTGTGTGTGTGTGTGTGTGTGTGTGTGTGACCGGTAAGGGGATTGTAACCCTTGGCTTGGTGGCCAACCCTCTGTATTCTTCAAGCAGTGGCACATCTCTGAAGTCTTCATCCTAATCTACACTCTGTTTATAGTCATTTGTGTGTGTGTGTGTGTGACCGGTAAGGGGATTGTAACCCTTGGCTTGGTGTCACCCGCACCGCGCTCAGCCAGTGAGCACACCGGCCATCCCTATATAGGATCTGAACCCGCGGCCTCGGCGCTCTCAGCGCCGCTGCGCTCCCAGCGCCGCACTCTCCCGAGTGAGCCAGGGGGTCGGCCCTTATAGTCATTTTTTAAACAAATATTTAGCTCTCAGCGCCGCTGCGCTCCCAGCGCCACACTCTCCCGAGTGAGCCAGGGGGTCGGCCCTTATAGTCATTTTTTAAACAAATATTTAGCTAACAAATATATTATTAGCTATTAACCATGTGCTAGTTATGATACTTATTGTGCTTATTGAGTTTATTGTTTGGTGTATATTAGCATATTCTCTCAAGTTAGATTATAATTTCTCGGAATGCAGAGGTGACAGTGGATGGGAAGGGAAGACTTTCTTCGGTGGATATTAAATAAATGGCCAGCACAACGCTGGGTACATAGTTCATGCTCAAAAATTCTTGCTTATTAGCTGAACTATATTATAAATAAGCTAACAGATTAAAAGTGATTATTATGGTCCCAGGCACATAGTAAACCTCGGATTATATTTTGGTTTCAGGAATCCAAATTGCTGTAGACTCTTAAATTAAGGGAGATATTTACATAACCCGGACACATTCTAAGGAAATTCTGCAACAAGAAGTACATTCTGAATGTCCTCCCACTTAAACTTCAATTAGCCTCTTCTCCCTTTGACTCTCTCTAGTGGTTTTCCCAACCCCCTCCCATAGTGCTTTCACACTTGTCCACACCACCCCCCACATTTCCTTGGCCCTCTCTCCACAGCACCTCATGTAGACAAACTTCCCCCAAATCAGCCTCAGGCTCTGGATCTACCCTTTCACTGTACCATGTAGAGCTCTCTTGTCTTGAACTCCCCTGGAAGACCCACTGGCAAGCATTCTCATAGCTGAATTCCCACTGGGACATGAATTACTAATAATGCCTGTTCGTATGGTCATGTTCCTTCTCCCAGGACTATGTCCATTTAAAAGAGACACCAGGTCTTGATCCAAAAGGGATGATTCTCTAATAGTGTCATTCTAGGCAAACTGGCACTGGGGCAATATTCTGGGGTCATAGCTTTATCTTTGCATTCCTCAAACATATCCATGGGGTTTGTGCTTTAAGGCTGGACATTTATACATCCACTAAGAAAAGTCTTGCCCTCACACCCACTAGACATCAAAACACTCCTCTGCCAACAAGTCTACATCATTTCATTAAATCAGACAGAGGGCTCAAAAGTGTACTACGTAATTGAAAACACTGGCAGGAAGATCATAGCTGCAACTCACTGCTCTGAACAAATAGCAATTATTCGGCATATGTAGATGATTGCAGCTTTTAGTCAGTAAAGGCTATACCTCCAAAGACTATCCAAGTAATATTTCTTTTATAATTGTACATTTCGTTTTAAAAGTTTTTCAAAGACAAAGACAATTCTTCATGCAGCTAGAGTTGCTGTTTAATAGAGTTTACCCATAATGGATTTTTTGTGTATTAATATTTGCTATAGGTTGAATGTGTCCCCCAAAAGTTCATGTATTGGAAATTTGACCCCCATTGTAACAGTATTAAGAGGGTGGGAAATCCAGTTATGGTATTTGAAAGGTGGGGCCTTTAAGAAGTGATTGGACTGTGAGGACTGTGCCCACAGTAAAGGAATTAATCTATCCATGGAGTAATGAGCATGGGTCTGCTGGCTTTAAAAGGAGAGCAAGTGAGAAGGTTAGCACTCTTGCTTAGCCTATTTCTCTTGCCATGTGACACCCTGCATCGCTATAGATGGTCACCACCAAAAAGATGTGGCCCCTGGACCGTGGACTTCCCAGCCTCTGAAACTGTAAGAAATAAATTTCATTCCTTTATAAATTATCCAGTTTCAGATATTCTGTTATAAGCAAAAGAAACCGACTAATACAATATTCAAATCTTCTTCAGATCTGTAGATAAGGAAGACACTTCTATAGAAATGAAGAAAATACGGCATCTTTCGCTATTGCTAAATAAAATATTACAGCCAGACACATGGCTTCTACCCATTTCAGAATCAGGCAAAATCAAAGTGTTGCAAGCAAGACAAAAAGCAACTGGAGTTCTCTGTCACATAAATTTTTTAAAATATGCATGTAAAACTTCATTCAATACCTTTCAACATTGTGTATCTGAAAAGCACTAGTAGAAAATGGCATTTCTGTGGTTGTCATCAAATTTGTCCCATTGTATGTGCTGTTACAGCCATAGGTTTCAAGGTTTAATGGCAAAGTTCTCTCAGGAAGTGGAGGATAAAGTTGAGCTCCAATTCCAACCCATAAAGAGAAGACAAATCCAGCCACCAGCCCAACAAGAGCTCCCTGCAAAACAAGATAGCTTTTAAAAGAAAAATAACAGTTTAACAGTGTGCTTTGAGACAGCACTCAGTCCATAAATATTCATTGAATGAATGAACAAGTGAATGAATGAGAGGGAGGGAGGAAGAAAGGGAAGGAAGAAGGTTACACCAAGGGAAGCAGATAATCTGCTGGTAAAAAACTTAGATGTGGTAAAAAGAGGAACTTCCTATGGCATATTGGACCTAGTCAGCTTCAATTCTCCTGGAGGCAATTTATGGTGGCAACAAATGTCAAAAACCAGAAGTTGATCTTTTTTAAATTTTTCAGATAATTAACAAACCACTATGCATTTTGTAAAGCAAAAAGTATAATTATAGCTTCAACACACTAAGATAGACACAAACCACTCTCTTTCATTGTGATTAATTTCTACCAAACTAGCTTTTCATATGACACTGCATTGAGAATTATTATTAATAACAATCACAGCCCTTATTAGTGTCTGTCTTACCAATTCCTAATGTCTTATAAGGAAAATGAAATTCTGAATGTAAAGTCATAGGTCTGTGGTTATTCTACATCTGTCTGAAATAAATGTACATACATTATCAGTTTTTCCTGAACATCTTATAGTGGGACTGAACCAGTGGACTTTCTCCTGAAAGAAATTATGTCAGAGAAATAATTTCTATTCCATTTACTCCAAACAAAATTGAGTGCTTGTAAGCATAGATATGTCTATGTAGAAGAACAGGGATATTACCTCTTTCTGCATCATATTCATAATTATAATCACCCCTTTGGGGCTAAAACCATGTTGTGGGAGCTACAGCTTTCAATATCAGGATGGCAATTTTCTGGCCAAGGTGGCAAAGATCTCATTACTACTCTTTGCTGTACTATGGCTATTCACAAAATCCTCAGCTCTACTGACCTTAAATCTCTCATATCTGAGCCTGTCGATCTCCTTCTCTAAATCCTAGCTAAGAAAGGCATGAAGATAAATGAACAAAAAAAAAAAAATGTTGCTCCTTTACAAATATTTAAAATTGCACTACATGGTTCTGGCAGTTTCCATTTAGCTTCCCACATGCAGGGTCCCAGGGCATGTCGCTCCTTTACAAATATTTGAAATTGCACTACATGGTTCTGGCAGTTTCCATTTAGCTTCCCACATGCAGGGTCCCAGGGCATAGTACTTCACTGTACACTCCATCAAAGTCAATGTGAGTAATTTCAGTCATCAAGATAGGTCGCTAATGGCAGATCTCAAAGTAAGCACATCTTTACATCTGAGGGGAAAAAAAATGGAGAGTTGCTACTGTAGTTGGGAAAGTAATCTTTACACATATTCATTCTTTAACACATCTTTACATCTGAGGGGAAAAAAAAAAATGGAGAGTTGCTACTGTAGTTGGGAAAGTAATCTTTACACATATTCATTCTTTATACTCACAATTGAGTTGGCAAAGGGAACCAAAATTCCCAAAGAAAACAAGCCCAGAAGTGGTCCACCAACCATGCCAAATATGCTGAGTGCAGCCTACAAAAATAATACAAAGTCAGCAATTAGCAATCTCAAATCCAACTAAAATGTTTCCAAGTAATTTCATCAGGATGAGGATTTCAGCCTCCTCCTGCAAATCAGAGTTTTATTCATGGCATCCTCATCACTGGTGAGGAGATAATCAGAACTGTTACCCTCAAAAAAGGCAACAGGAAGTAAAGAAGATAATCATGAGACAATAGGAACACCTCCATGAATGCATGAATCAAGAATGACACCACTCCTCCCAGCCTTGTTTCTGTAGACATTAATAAATCACAGCACTCTTTGTGCTTTGATAGCCTCAAAATCCTCCTCAAAGCAAGACTGTGGATGACTACTACTATGTGACCAGAGATGGAGATGAAACCCATTTGCTATTCCTGATTTGGTTCTCCAAGGATGAAACTAGAATGAAAAATGTGATCTAAGAAAAAAAAGATCAATCATGTAGAAATAGATTTAAAATCTAATTGGATAATTGCAACCTTTGCTTTGACCTATGTCAAACATGCATCTCTCTCAACACTTTTATGATAGTGAGAAAGATTTAAACACAAAGCATGAGAAAATGCAAATAACTGTAACTTCCAAGAGATGTGTGTTCACAGTAATCAAATGCCTAGTTTTCAAGAATGAATAGAGCCATAAAAGAAGGATCAGGGACACAGAAGAAAGGGGCTTAACAGAACAGAATGAATGAATCAAAGAGAAAATATCAAGTCAAGAAAATGTATAGACTGTAGTCCTTGATTAAAAAAAAATAAATTCTGGGAGGAGGAAAGGAGGTTTCGGTAATGGGCTACAATAATCAACCACATTGTATATTGACAAAATAAAATTTAAAAATTTAAAAATAAATAAATAAATAAATTCTGCCTTGTGGCCTAGGGAAAGGAGTGTGGATACTGATGAGAGAAAAGAACTAATGTTTGAGGAAGGTGTGGACTCAAGAATGTGATCTTGAGTCAGTTCACAGCAGAATCCAGTGGGAGGGAAGATCGACTCCACTGCAAGATGTGAAA